GAAGCACAGAGGGGCACAAGTACCTGATGGGAATTCCGTGGACGGATGTGCATCAGGAAATTCAGGAGCAGCTGGAGGACGGCACACTAGCAGAGGTGCAGGGTAGTCAGGCAGCCAATGTTCAGGCAGATGTGCAGGATACTGGAAGGGTATACTGGAAGGTAGGAAGCAGGATCAGCGTAGGTAAGGTTGGGCGGACCTGTTCAGCAACAAGCGAGCAAGGTCAGACAGAATCGGCAGGCAGAAGAATAGTCGGTGGGCAGGCAGAGGTCGAGGCAGGCGGCGTTCTAGTGAGATTAATTGACAGGTGGGATCAGCAAGGCAAAACAGATAGCAGGATCCACAGCAACACAGGGTTAAGACCAAACACGGCATGGAGAGACAGAGTCCCATTTTAGTTTAAATAGCACGCCTGGTGCCAAAGTGCTGACCGATCATGAACGGAGCCAGCAGGAGCCCCACATCTGTGCACATCCATGCACCTACCCTGACAGCTGGCTTTTCCCTGTGTCCTATTCAGCATTGGAGGCTGTCAGAATCCTTTCAGCCGCAACACCCAGTTTCTGGAGCATTAGGTTTCAGTGGAGGTTGTAGAGCGGTCTCACCTGCCTTAGGAATGGGGTGCAGGGGCGGACTGACAACTCATGGGGCTCCCGGGCAATAGGGGATAATGGGGCCCCTGTGTCCTTGCCCACACTCAAAAAAGCCTATAAAAAAGGTACCAGGGACATTTCATGGAGCCCCCTACTGACCCTGGGCCCTCGGGCAGTGCCCGAGTGCTCGAATGGTCAGTCCGCCCCTGATGGGGTGTACAATCTTCCCATGCTTGATATATTACTCTGTAGGCACGCTCTTACATTGGAACAGTTGGATTTGTTATACACATATTGCTGGGGGAGGTTCATTCCAGACTTCTTTGACAATACATTCCTGGTGGGTGAAATAGTGGCTGTCATTCCCAAGAAGCCTCACCTGGAAGGGCCTCTTACCTGCCAGACCTTTAGGCACCTTACAACGTACAGATGGGCTGTCATCTAATGTTTATAGACACTTTATGAACACGAACTATTTATAATTGTTTTTTTTTGTCTTCCAGGCACTGCTGTACCAACTGCAAAGCTTTTCCTCTCCGCCATTGTTCTCCTGTTCCTGTTGTACTAGTATTATACTGACCCATCCGTGTGAATTGGTGTCAGATTTACAGATCAGTGTAACCATACATCAATACATATTGTGGAAGAGTCTATAAATCATCAAAGTAGATTTACTAAAGGAGAACAAATAGTGTGAGCTGGTACTGCAGCCAACGCCTCAGCAAGATGGAAATATTGGGAAACTAGTACAGTCTGAGTTCCCAGCATATCTATACAATCGTATTTGACTTAAAACACAAACACATTATTAAAGTGGTCTAATGGAAGAACGTTTTTTACCTTCATCTGTTCTATGCATGAAGGTAAAACACCTCCTGTGTGCAGCCCCCCCATCCCCCCAAATCTTACCTGAGCTCCCTCCAGTCCAGGGACTCTCCCTCCTCATTGGATGAGGCAGCAGCAAGAGCCCATTGGCTCCCACTGCTGTCAATCATAGCTAGTGAGCCAATGAAGATAGAGCAAGGGGCGGGGCTAAGCTGCAGCTCTGTGAGTCTTATGGAGGCCAAGAGCAGTGGCTCAGGGACAAGCACACAGCGGTGCCCCCAGGCTTTCCCTGGGGGCACTGCTCAAGGGGAAGGAGACAGGAGCACCATTGGGGAACTGAAAAGAAGAGGATTGGGGCTGCTCTGTGCAAAATCATTGCACAGAGCAGGTAACTATAACATGCTTGTTATTTTAAAAAAAACTAAGCTGTAGTGTCACTTTAAAAGTAGACTGAGATATATAAAGAGAAAAGAGAAGAAGAAGGAAATAAAGATGAAGGAAAAGTCAGACATTTTGAAACACTGAAAAAACGTGTCCAAAGCGAGACTGTTTTCTCATGTATAATTGTAACTGAATAGATAGGATATGTACGGGGAATGAAGGTTTAGGGGACGCTGTTATCAATGTGTCATTATAACTTTATAACTGGAATAAATAGAAGATTTAGGGGGAATTAGGGTTGAGGGGAATCTTAGGATTCAGAACATATTTCATGGTATTTTATGCTCTTATTTTCTATATCTGATTATCAAAACTATCACTAATCACGATCAGCTTTGAATAAAATCATATATTATGGAAATGCCCGTTTACAAAATCATGCAACTATAATAAATTATTTCTGTATTGATTTGCAATGAAGGTATATTGATTGACAAAAGTATATCATGGGACCTCCGAGATAAGTGATGTACAGTATATATTCTGCAAGTGTGTATTGGGCCAATCATTTCATAGTTACATAGTTAGTTTGGCTGAAAAAAGACTAAAGTTCATCCAGTTCAACCATGTGACCATGTGACCATGTGATCATCATCATCCAATATATATAATAAGTAACATTGATTTTATTGAAACAATAAAGGACATTGTGTCTCCTTCATTTGGCTTTCTAAAAGAGTAACTGAAATTTCTGGCAAAAAATAGCAAATAAAAAATGATATATTTATATATTAAACATATAGTTATTCTAAACCATAAGTGTGATTCTGGCACCGCTCCAGGCTGACAGCAAATAGTAATCACCCTGCTAGCAGAGAAGAGGGAACAGCGTCCCCAGTAATTCCAGACACTTGGCAGTGTGTATGAAGATGGATGTCGCTCAGATCTCCGGGAGTCAGAGTCAGTGTGTAGTGAGTGACCTCAGCCATCACTTTGGCCAGAATGCCCACCGCAGTCCCACAGTCCCACAGTCCCACTGATCGCCACCATTACTAGTATAAAACAAAAATAAAAATAAATATTCCAGTTTATATGCCACCATTTGTAGATGCTATAACTTTCACGTGGGATTTTTGTTAGCAAAAGACTACATTTTGACCTAAATTTTTTATGACATTTTTTTTTTTTTATTGGATATGTTTTATAGCAAAAAGTAAAAAATACAGTGTGTGTATATATATATATATATATATTCATATACACACACACATATATATACATATATATATATATATATATACATACACACACACACAATATATACACAGTTTTTTTTTTCATTGTTTTTGATTGTTCATTCTTTTTTTGTTTATAGCACAAAAAATAAGAAACGGAGAGGTGATCAAATACCACAGAAAGAAATCTCCATTTGTGGAGAAAATAGTTACATATATTTAATTTTGGTGCAGCATTGCATGACTGTGCAATTGTCAATTAAAGTAACGCAGCACTGTAATGCAAAAAATGGCCTGGTCAAGAAGGGGGGTAAATCCTCTGGAAGGCGAGGGGTTAAATCTAAATGTGCAGTCCATTCACCTTTCAGCACTGACATACCTATTCATAGTGAGATGGGAAAACCTGGATAGGTAATCCGGATGTACATGATCACATTGAAATAAAGGGATATGTTCACTTAGTTTTTGCTCAAATTTCATCTTTAGGGAAAGAAACAAAAGCAGCCTCTAATACCAGATAGAATGGGGGAGATTTACCTAGAATACCTTACCAACCAAACCTGCAGTTATCTCACAACCAGGACCCAGTACAGAGCCTTGGGGTTCACCAATTACTGACTGGACAGAAATCGGTAATTAGCCTGCCTGGGCACCATCTCGGTATTTGAGCATCTCCCTAATATATATAGTAATATTTGGGGGTCATTTAGCTCAGGGTAGCGCTTACCAGTGAGTAGAGTCCACACCATAAATTATTGTTTAAAGGCTTGTTGGCCCATTTTTATTAAAGAAAAAAAAAAAGTCCATACAATGTATGTTTCCCACACAGGGGTATCCACCATCAATGCAAAAGAAAAAAGATTCAGCCTCCTGACTCTCTTTAGCAGCAACACTGCTCAGGCTTCATGCTTCGGTCCTCTTGACCATTCACATACAATCGCTGTACCTTGGTTAACGCTCTTTCTCAGCACTCCTGCTTCTCCAGCCCACAGGCTTGGGACCTCTGTCTCCTCTGTCAGACTACACCGTGCCACCATGCAAGCTTTTGGCTGCTTCCTTGCATCCACATGGACTCCTCAGGAGGGTGGAGCCCAGAACCCTGGTCCTGACTCTATAAGAGACCCACAATCTCCTGCACAATCAGTCTCCTGGCCATTCCCAAAACCTGGTCCCAGGATTGGAGATTTTTCCTCCCACCCAGATAACTGTGAAATCTCCAGGCTCCAGGTCCCAAACAGTTTTACAAAGAACCAAGGAAACTCAAAACACAGTTTCCTCCAAGTTAAACAAGCACCCTCAAACCCTTTTACCTGCCTTGTTGAGAATCCTGGGCAAAATAATATCCTTTTAACATTGTGACAAATCATCACACTGTCACTATATATATATATATATATATATATATATACACACTATATTGCCAAAAGTATTGAGACACCTGTCTTTCCATGTACATGACCTTTAATGGCCCCCCAGTCTTAGTCCATAGGGTTCAATACTGAGTTGGCCCCGCCCTTTGCAGCTATAACAGCTTCAACTCTTCTGAGAAGGCCGTCCACAAGGTTTAGGAGGGTGTCTATGGGAAGGTTGGACCATTCTTCCAGAAGCACATTTGTCAGGTCAGGCACTGATGTCGGGGGAGGAGGCCTGGCTCACAGTCTCCGCTCTAATTCATCCCAAAGGTGTTCTATGGGGTTGAGGTCAGGACTCTGTGCAGGACAGTCAAGTTCCTCCACCCCAAACTGGCTCCTCCATGTCTTTATGGACCTTGCTTTGTGCACTGGTGCGCAGTCATGTTGGAACAGGAAGGGGCCATCCCCAAACTCTTCCCACAAAGTTGGGAGCATGAAATTGTCCAAAATGTCTTGGTATGCTGACGCTGTAAGAGTTCCCTTCACTGGAACTAGTGAGCCAAACCCAACCCCTGAAAAACAACCCCACACCATAATCCCCCCTCCACCAAACTTTACACTTGGTACAATGCAGTCAGGCAAGTATCGTTTTCCTGCAACCATCAAACCCAGACACATCCAGTGGATTGCCAGACAGAGAAGCATGATTCATTACTCCAGAGAGCATGTCTCCACTGCTCTAGAGTCCAGTGGCGGCGTGCTTTACACCACGGCATCCCACGCTTTGCATTGCACTTGGTGATGGAAGGCTTGGATGCAGCTGCTCGGCCATGGAAACCCATTCCATGAAGCTCTCTACGCACTGTTGTTGGGCTCATCTGAAGGCCACACCAAGCTTGGAGGTCTTTAGCTATTGACTTTGCAGACAGTTGGTGACTTCTGTCGTTCCCAGTTGCTTCCACTTTGTTATAATCCCACTAACTGTTGAGCGTGGAATATTTAGTAGCCAGGAAATGTCACGGATGGACTTATTGCCCAGGTGGCAACCTATCACGGGACCACGCTTGGAGTCACTGAGCTCCTGAGAGCGACCCATTCTTTCACCGATGTTTGTAGAAGCAGTCTGCATGCCTAGGGGCTTGATTGTATTCACCTGTGTCCATGGAGGGGATTGGAACACCTGAATCACATGATTGGGAGGGGATTGGAACACCTGAATCACATGATTGGGAGGGGATTGGAACACCTGAATCACATGATTTTACTTTTCGCAATATAGTGTGTGTGTGTGTGTGTGTGTGTATATATATATATATATATATATATATATATATTACAGTGCTAAGTATATTAGGACAGTAGCCTGATACTTAGCAATGTTATATATGACAGATTTTATGCTGATTGCAGTTGTTCTTAGATGGTAGATAGGGACAGCAGAGAGAGCATCTGAGTGTAACAGTATAAAAAAAATCATATATTCGCATGACAATTGGCTACTTACAAGACAATGTAGTCACATCAGGTATATTCATATAGAAATGCCATTCGGGGTCAGATTCCTTGGGATGGATTGCAGCACCTTTAGCTGTAATGCAAAGTAGACACCACTGGGGCCGCAGACTAAGTGTAGCAATAGATGAATAAACAGCAAGCTATGTAAACAGCAACTTATAGAGGTAAAGTGATAAGAGCATTATAACATGTAGATCTTCCACCTCACATGGGTCTGATTTTCCATTAATTGTCCATATGTAGGAGAGCCAAATGGAGTTCAGCTATCACTGGAGCCTATGGATGTGGATGGGAGCCCTGGAGAGCACTGAGAGACCACAAGATGGCGGACAGTGGAGAACACATAGCTCAGGAAGTGATGTCATGTGCGTGGGAGTGGGTTCACATTACAAGACAGAGCTGCCTCTTCCTCGAACCAATAGTAAGGCTCCTTGAGCAGGATGGCTTTGTATAGGCTGTGAGAACTAAAGTGCTAACCAGGGGCGGACTGACCATTCGAGCACTCGGGCACTGCCCGAGGGCCCGGGGTCAGTAGGGGGCCCCATGAAATGCCCCTGGTACCTTTTTTATAGGCTTTTTTGAGTGTGGGCAAGGACACAGGGGCCCCATGATCCCCTATTGCCCGGGGGGGCCCCATAAGTTGTCAGTCCGCCCCTGGTGCTAACCAAGACTCTATGTAAAAGACTTTATATTGACATATCGGTTTTAGAGGGGCACCTTCCTTGTGTATCTTAGGGAGTCCATTCAGGCATTGCATTGGTGAGCTTCCCCAGAATAGAGATGGTGGCATAATATCCAAGCAATGTTTTCTATCTGTTGTAAGCAGTCTAATCCCATCAGCTACCTGGGTACTTCTTTAGTGGCTCCAACGTATTGGCATCACTAAGAAGAGTGCTGACCTTAGAATGGTAATCAGATGTATTTCACCCCCCCCCCCCCACCATCCTTTTTTGGACGATAACTGCCTTGACATGTTCCATTATGGTTGGATTAAGGCAGTGTTTCTCAACTCCAGTCCTCATGGACCCCCAACAGGTCATGTTTTCAGGATTTCCCTCAGATGAAACAGCTGTGGTAATTACTAAGGCAGTGAAACTGATCAAATCACCTGTGCAAAATAATGGAAATCCTGAAAACATGACCTGTTGGGGGTCCATGAGGACTGGAGTTGAGAAACACTGGATTAAGGTGACTGTGCTACCTGTGTGGATATAAATACCGGGGTATGATACTGATCCTCATTAAAACGGAAGAAGATGCTGAGATGAACTGTTTTATGACTTCAGCATTACAGAACAAGTCCAGCTGAATGTGACTTACAAATACTAGATATACTGTGACCTGTTTGAGAAAAAAATCTTCAAATTAATTAAGGCCATCCTTTAACATGGTTTTGTGAATGGACACATGATACATGTCAGAAAGAACCCAGATTTTACCTACATACTCCAAAATGAGCATTTACTACAGTTTTTACTTCCCTTCTGGTGATTCTCTTTTGCCTACATTGAATGATATGTGATTATATGGATGGGAAAAAAACTAAAAATGAACCAGCGCAGCGACTAGGGTGTGTTGTGTCCTCTGTAATAGAGTATTATAGTTTTATCATGCTTTTTTTCATTCTTACAGTTCTGGTTGCTTTTGTTTGCCCCCCAAAAATACAAATTGCAATCTGATTTTAAGCTTTCCCATCATTTCAGATACCAGGGACCCTCGCCGCTCTCTTTGGATCCTTCCACCAATCTCTATGTCATTACAAGACAGGTGTGTTTTAGTTTCAGGTTTTAAAAAGCTTTTACAAATCAAAGGAACAGAGTTCTTTTAAAAAAAAACACATAAGTTGAAATGTAAAGTTTCCAGGGGATGCATACAAGCCAGCTGGAGTATGAGAGGTATTTGCACATCTAGAGGGCATATGACATAAGAAAAACCTGCCTGGCTGGGTCTGTACTTTCTAAGCCAAGTCTGGACTCTGTATTATTGACATTGAAGATGAAGGCAGCAGACTGAGTTATAACAAATCACTAATCGTCACCCAACATTGCTGGTTTACATTTCGGTGAACTTTGTAGGATTAAATCAGCTGCACGCTTCTTAAAATTTTTCATCACCTTGGCGGTGAAATCCAGCAAAGAGTCAATCAGTAGAAGGTGAATCGTTGCTTCTGAAGACTGCATTTTTTTGTTTATTTGTGCTGAGAATTAACCAATTCTATTTTTTGTTGTACCACTTTGATGTGAATAATAATATGTCCTGCTTTTGAGAACACACAGCTGAACGACTCGGAGGAGGGGCAGTCTCCCCCTACATTGCCAGGGCCTGGACCTGAACCTGGGATCTCTGCTGCTTCTGGCAGCAACTTTTCTTGCTGAGCTACCTGAGATGTTAGACAGCCCCCTGTCTGATTTATTTTCCTTTTCTTTTGGACCTTGTTTTTCACCCTGTTTTCGCCATCTGTATCTTTGCTACCACTCGTTATCGACCTTTGGCTTGTTCCTGGACCACACTTCTGCTTGATCCCAACATGCAGCCACTTGTTACTAAACTTTTGTTTGTTTATTGACTATTCTTCTTCTTGATCCCTACCTGTTATAACTGTGACTGGACCCCGGCTTGCTCGCCTCTTACTGGGGCGATTCCTTGAACTGCAACCTGGTACTAACATGCAGGTAAACCATCTCCACCCTCAGGAGCTCTGGTGAATACTGGTCAGTACTAAGACCTTGCACCTTGGGTGAGCCCACATCATCTGTCAGGTTGACCTGCTTGTATACCTATCCTGCTGGTCGGTGGGGGCCTCTTAACTGCTATAGCTACTGGTCTCCAAGTCTTACTTCACACCGTAACACACATATCGGGCGTATCCCTGAGGACAAGCATGTGCACAAAATGTGTTGGGTGGAGCCTACGTGCTGACGTCACGCTGCAGTGTCCAAGTTATGGATAAGCAGCCATCTTGGTATATCCGCCTGTATTTGTATTAAAATCCGCCCGTATTAATCCATTAAATACTAGACTATATTGGGTTACTGGGTTCCGCGTAGTGAACATTTCTTCTTAGGCTCCCGGTATATCGCCAGTTGGTTCAAGGAAAGCGAGAGAAGGAGCTTCTGATTGCTATATTATTGCTATTATTGCTATATTATTGCTATATTATAGGCTTTAGACCAGCAAGTTTTCTGAAGGGTTTTGCATGGAGGAGCAACACTTTTTGGATTTAGTTTGTTTGGGAATTTCTTCACCTTCATTCTTGTTCGGATTGTCACCTGAAGGACAATTTTATACAGGATTGCACGGGAGGGAATTATGACCAAAAATTCCTGCAACTGGAGACACAATGGATTTATAAGCTCAGTGCTACTCACTATCCAGGCCTGAATGAGTCGTTGAGTTTGAAACCATTCTTATGAGTTTGTAATCTCATGTACTTTGCCCTAGACCATCCCACAATAAGGACTTACTAACACCAATCTTGTAGTTTACTGTAGAATTTATGTATTTTGATTAACTCCAATTATTGTGATTTTTGATATTGTATAATATTACTGTATCATTTGATGATAATCAATACATGAAATTTAGGCCTAAATGGTAAATACTGTTTGGAATTGGGATCCACCCAGTGAATGTAACGGAACCGTCCCAAACATGCGCTGAGTACTTCTGTTAGAATACCGCTTCCCCGTCCGAACACCGACCACAGACACCACAGCCGACCATACAAGACCAAACGATACCAGTCTTGAAGTAAACCAGGAAACAGACTACTTTATTTTAACACAGATACAGGATATATACATTCAAGGGAACAACCCCCCCTCCCTGCATAATGACATATGCGGGGCAATCTACCTTTAGTAACTAGAGACACATCAGCAGACAGTCCCATCAGGAGGGAGGCTGCTGGAGACACCCCCCCCACCAAGCCAATACACATAAGCACATACATCCCATAATAGTTTGCTCCTAAGCAAGACACACAATAGAACAATGTGATGCAACCACATGGCATTAAACAATCAACAACCCCCCATCCCAATATTAGGACAGATCACCCTGTACCCCTAACAGGCACAGGGTGACTTACACATAATAGGGATATGGGGAGCTGAGACAGAGGTCTCCCCACCTCTCCAAAGTGAGCTGGATTCCATGCCCCCCCCCCCCAGAGTGACTCCTGTCACACCCAGCTCATCTGAGTGTTGCATAGGTACAATGTTTATTTTATAACTATCAGTTTGCGCCATATCACGTCCCTATGTGCAGTTGTACGGATGCCCAAGGCGTAGACTTTTCGGATAATCTTCCTATTTGCTTGCCTTAATATGACTTGCCGGCAAATCTGAACCCCTGGCTCCTTGATGTTGTTTAAATACTTCCCTTAACCCCCCTGGCGGTATTCCCGAGTGTAGCTCGGGGTAAAGTTTCAGTACCAGAAGCGGTAACCTTGAGCTACACTCGGGCTTATCATGCGGCGCTGCTCCGCGATCCCTCAATCACCTACCTTGCCATGCGCTCCTGCGATATCCCTCCTGCAGCATCCCCGGCCATCTCCTCCGGCCGATGCCGGCATCTGTCATCCGGGTTCCTGTCCCTGTGACGTCGGGACGTACGGGG